CAAACTTAACTCATATATATCGAAAGATATGAAAATATTTGCAAATCAAAACTCAATTTAACATCATCACATCACTATTTTGTACATAGGCGTACTTTAGGAGAAAAAAACACAGAAGAGAGCAAAAGAATGATAAAGAAAACTAGCTATTTAGTATTTGGGAAAAGATGGATGTATAAAGAAATCAAGTATATGGAACACGAGATGAGATTACAGTCATGAAGAAAAACAGTCTAGAGTTATGAAAAAAGTGAATTTATGATGTAGAAGTTGTAAGATATTCACAAAATTATACACAAATTCTGCTGTCAATCCCTAAGCTTTTGTTTTCCCACAAGTTTCAAGCTTTGAACTCTAGCTTTCACCCAATTTTCACGCCCTAAATTCTAACTTGGGGACTTTCACCCAAGTGTCAATTCCTAAGTTTTCACTATCTTAGTGCTACTATCAAATTGGGGGGTTTTGGTATGCGAGATTGATAAAGATGCCCAAATTCTAGATTGATAAGAAGTTGGGTTACACAAATAAGGATGAGAATGGTTAACTCAACCAAAATTATAGATGGATTCGGAAGAGAAAGACTAACTAAGTGAGGAAGACAAAGATAGAGGTTAATTGTGTATGAAAAATCGGTTAAGTGTTCTGGGTATAGTGGTTAATTTTCTAAAAGATTCTTTAGCTTGCCACACCTCTTCAATTTTTAGGTTTGCCACTTTTTGTTTAAGTAGAAATTCATGTTTTCTTCCTCATTCCTCCTATTTAGCAACCATAAATTCAAGTTTTCTTCCACCTTTCTCCTATCTCTTTTTTTTTTCTTTTTATCATCTATATGTAATTAAGCTCTTCTATTATTTTTTTAAACTCTCAAGTTGTATTAAAATTTTAGATTAGGAATACTTAGTGTGTTTGGATAGAGATATTTAAATTTTTTTCTAATATATGGCTTTTTCTGAGCATGTTTTTGGTACTCATGTTGTTGTTCTATCAATTATGTATGTGTTGTAGTTTGGGAATACCTACAGTTAGTTTATCTAATCAAATAATTAAAATAGTTTGCTAAGACATGTATCAAGCACTAAATCTAGTTGGTACAAGTATCGGGTCATAAACATTAACAAATGTGACTATTATAACTAATAACAACCTTCCAGTCATGCAACTATAAGGATTAGACTTAATTTTGTATTAAATTCTACTTTTGATTACCTCTATTTTCAAATTATACTAATGATTCATTTTCTGCCATGTTGACAAGAGGACTAAATAGGGAATGTATGAATTCTTTTTTATGTTTATAATAAATTATTACCTAAGTTAGGGAAAATTATAAAATGTGTCTACATAAATTATTAAGATACCTTCTACATTTTGGAAATAAAAAAAAGGACTAAATTGCAAAAGATAGAGTGCAATAGTAGAATTAATGAAATTGGGGTATTACATATGGGGTTAAATTGCAAAAGTTAGGGAGCCATAGTAAAATAAATGAAATTGGCAAATTATGCATGAGGCTAAATGGCAAAAGTTAGGATGCCATAGTAGAATTAGTGAAATTGGTGCATTACATATGGGGCTAAATTGCAAATGTTAGAGTGCCACAGTGGAATTAATGAAATAAAATTATCACATATGGGCTAATTTGCAAAAGATAGAGTGCTATAGTAAAATTAATGGAATTTGTTTATTACATATGGGGCTAAATTGCAAATATTAGGGTGGCATAGTTGAATTAATGAAAGTAATCTAGAAATAAGTACTTTAGACAGTGACAACTAATTGTTGTCATACCTCTGAATCTGTATAGTGCAGTAGCAACAATGTTGGAAGCAGTCATTGCATAACTCATTTTAGTGATAACATTTTTTCAGTTCGTCACGAAGGTAATTTCTGCCACACTGACTAGTTGCGCGCGCACCCATATTGTGACGACTACTGCTATGTTGTTATTAATAATGAGTTTGTGAGATCATCTGTGATGACATCAAAAATCATCGCCGAATTATGTCAATTGTGACAAGATTTTCCTATTGCCAATAAGAGAGCTGTCATAAAAGGCCATATTTCTTGTAGTGTATCTAATAATTGGATATAGTGTCACGAAGCTACATATATATGCATAAGCTACATTACAAAAATAATATCTACTTGTGCCAAAAAAAATTAAATCATAAATGCGGGTAAAAATTAATGCAAAAAAATGATTTGTAAAAAAAAAAAATCTAATGTGATTAAGGATGGAAAACTTAAATGTTGCATCTGCTATGGCTTCCAACAAAACTCTAGAATCATGTCCTACATTTTTCCAATCCATCAAGCGAATGTGAAAATCATGTTGAAATCACAAATAGCAAATATATTTTGCACACACTTGCTTTTTCCTTCTCTTGATACTGTATTTGTTCATTTCGAGGCATAATAATACTTCCATCTAATGCACATGTAACACTTTTTGAGTAGGACAAAAGCATCATAATCATTAAATATTTTTAACAAAAGAAATTTTTACTTAAGCTCTATGATACTTGAACTATTTGTAGAAGTCGATGATGTTGTGGTTGACTTGCTCGATGATTTCCATTCCAATTTGGGACAATAATCTCTTTAAAAAATGTAGCATACTTTGTGGTAGTTCATAGAAATATCCATGAGCTAGATAGGTCCAATGACTATATCTCTTTTTAACTACACAATTGTTGTGATATTGACCCTTAGTCATGAGAAACATTGCTACTTTTTCTTTGATTGAAATAAAATGACTATTTTGTGACCAACTTTTATTATGAAAATGAATGTGCATATTTAGAAATACTTGTTTTCTTATTCTAATTATTTTCCTAGAGAATGCTTGTTTTCCAATCAAGAATTTCAATAACATATCCATGTCCTCTCAACATAGAATTTATTTTAGGCCTTCTTCCAATACACCTCAATTATATTCCTTTGAGAATTAGTAATGTTGTGACAACTAGGGGAAATACTAGGGGAGCTAGGGTTTTGGTCTTCACAGAATCTGACGGCTAGGGTTTTGCTCTTCACGGCAACTTGCGTGGTGCAACCATGGCAGCCCTCCGGCTCCCTGCTGGAGGGCATCCCCCTGCGCATACAGTCACCTCGTCTGTTCAAGGTAAGTCCTTCGCGGATCTATTCAAACAAAATGCGTCACAACCATCGCTTTCCATTGCGGCAGAAACGGCAACCCACAAAGGCGAACCAGCGATCCTTTTTCTCAGGCTGCTGTGCACTCCCTGGCCAGTCACTATCATTTTGCTTTAGTTGGGAAGTTCTCCAAGGGTAGGCCGAAGCTGGAGGAGGTACGTAAGTTCTTCTCAGCACTGGATCTAAGAGAGAAACCCACGGTGGGTTTGTTGGATTCGTGGCATGTGTTGATTCAGCTACATACTGAGGTTGATTTCCATAGAGTGTGGTTCAGGAGGGTGTGGTATGTGGCCTCTGCTCCTATGCGCATTTTCAAGTGGACACCAGGCTTCCATGTTGATAGAGAATCCCCCATTGTCCCTCTGTGGTTCCAACTTCCGAAACTTCCACTACATTTTTTCCACAAGGAGGTGCTTTTTCAAATCATGTCCTGTGTGGGTGTGCCTCTGCTGGTAGACGCGACCACGCTTACGGTATCACGCCCGAGTGTTGCTCACGTATGCGTCAAAGTGGACCTGTTGAGAACTTTACCATCGCGTGTATGGATTGGGAATGGAGACAGTGCTGGTTTTTGGCAGGAACTGGTGGTAGAGAATTTACCCCAGTACTGCACTCACTGCTATCGCCAGGGTCATGGTGAGAACAATTGCCATGTTTTGCATCCGGAGATGGGTCACTCTTCTGGGCAGTGGGCCAAATTGGGGGATGTGCAGCGGGGGCAGGAAGAGAGGTCTTCCGCGCTAGCTGAGGGGGCGGCTGGAGCACAGCGGCGAGAGAAGGAGGAGGTGCAGCAGCAGGGCTCACTAAAGGGCCCAGCAGACACTCCCAATGGGCCGGCAGTGCGGTCCTCCATGCTGGTTGAAGGGACGGCTGGAAGTCAGCAGCATGGGGTGGAGGAGTTGCAGCAGAAGGTTTCGCTAGGGGAGGAGGCGATGCTTCAACAGGAGGAGTACCAGCCGCAGGCCAAAGGGGTGGGCAGCAGCCTGCCATGCTTCAAGCGTTGGAGATGGGTTGCTCGGAGATGGCTACTAGCTCAATAGCGGGTGTGGGTGTGGGGTGTTCGCTGGGACTGATTGGGAAAGGTGACGGCTCTATGGATCGGTAAGGGCTGGGGGAAGTGATGGAACAGGAGGAGGTGTGGACTGCATTGCACGGCTTGAGGAAGGAGATAGGATGGCGGACGAAGTGGCAGCGGTGCGATAGGTTGGAAACTTATCACCTAGGGGCAGGGGCGTTGAGGTGCAGATTCAAGAGGGATCATCATCGGTGGCCATGTTGCACCTTGACCCGGTGGTATCTTCTAGCAATTTTGAACAAGAGGTAGATGGGTTGGGGAAGGCGTCTGTGGCTAAGGGGCGCGGCATTCATGCGGGTTTTCCTCAGATAGGACCCTACGACCAAGGGGTGCTGCTTCATCAAATTCCTTTTCTGTGTTATCTCATGATTAAGGTGCTTTTCTGGAATATAAGGGGGCTCGTGCCCCTAATCTATCACGTCTAAGAAAGTTAATCAAATTGCACTCTTTACAATTAGTAGTGGTTGTTGAGCCTAAAACGGGTTTGGACAACCGCACTACCATTAGACTAAAATTGGGGATGGACTACTGTCTCTTTAATCAGGGGGGTTCTATTTGGGTGTTTCATCAGTTTTTGTTTACTTGTCAGTGTATCGGGGAGTCGTCACAACATCTGACAATCCAGGTGCGCTGTCATTTATTTCCCACCCCTATTCATTTGTCTTGTATTCATGCTAAGTGTACGGGACACGAAAGGACGATTTTATGGCATGACTTATTAAGGGATAACCCGGGGTCGTCTCCGTGGTTCTTAGTGGGGGACTTTAATATGATCACAAATGGTGAGGAAAAGAAGGGAGGCCTGCCATCTAGACCTTCGGAGGGTGTGGACTTCCTCAATTTCATGTCCGAAGCAGGAGTGGTGGATGCGGGGTTCTCAGGGTCAAGGTATACCTGGTGCAATAATCGTCCGGGCCCAGCTCGGATTTGGAAACGCCTGGATACATTCCTACTTAATGGGACAGCATTGGGGATGCACCACCAGGTCACGGTTCAATACTTGGATAGGGATCCATCAGATCATGCTCCGTTACTGTTATCTGTGGTAACGCGTCTGGACAATAAACCCAGGCCTTTTCGATTTTTGAATGTTTGGACCATGCATAAGGACTTTTTGGGGTGGTTCGTGAATGCTGGGCATAGCCGGTGGGTGGGTCTCCTATGCAGGTATTGGCAGCAAAACTGAGAGGTATGAAGCAGGTACTGAGGCAATGGTCTACACTTTCGTTTGGAGATATTTTTGAAACAATCCGGGGCGCTGAGCGCGAGTTGGTGGATGTAGAGACAAAGTATGACTTGGATCCATCGGATGCCTTGCGGTGTGAACTACATCAAGCCCAGGCACGATTGCGTCGAGCTCTTTCGATCGAGGAGGGCTTCTGGAGGCAAAAGGCACGTGCGAAGTGGCTTCAAGATGGGGATAGAAACTCGAAGTTTTTCCATTCATTAGTGGCAGAAAGAAGACGTCGGTCAGTGATTCATCGAGTGAGGAGGTCAGACAGAGAGTGGCTCGGCGAGTTGTCGCGGATTGGTGAGGCGGTGATTAGTTTCTTCCAGAAGCTTTTCACGGCAGAGACAGTTCTCCCGGCAAATGGTTTGTTGGAAAACATTCCGAGTTTAGTCACTACCCAAGACAACGTTGCACTAACAGAGATCTCACAGCTCGAAGAGGTTAAGGACATAGTGTTTGTCCTAGATGAGGAGAGTGCGGCGGGCCGGATGGATTCACAGGGAAGTTCTTCACTTTTGCGTGGGAGGTGGTTGCCATGGATGTGTATCGGGCAGTGGTAAGCTTTTTCTGTGGGGCCGAAATCCCTAGGAGCATCACGGCAACATCGATTGTGCTGTTGCCTAAGGCAGAACACCCTCAGGATTTCACTCAGTTTAGGCCTATTAGTCTCTGTAATTTCACTAATAAGATCATTTCGAAACTTCTTTCGGAGAGACTAGCTAAGATATTGCCTCGGCTCATATCTCCACAGTAGAGTGGATTTGTGAAAGGGAGACAGATTGTAGATAACTTTTTACTTGCTCAGGAGTTGGTGTCAGACATTACGAGGTCTAATTGGGGTGGTAACGTGGTGATTAAGCTGGACATGATGAAGGTGTACGATAGAGTCTCGTGGCCGTTTCTGCTACAGGTTCTTCGCCGTTTTGGGTTCTCTGAGACCTGGATTGATATGATCTGGCGCCTGGTTTCTAACGTCTGGTTCTCGGTTTTGGTCAACGGCGCACCTCAAGGATTCTTTAAGTCATCACGGGGCCTCTGGCAAGGGGATCCCATCTTACCGGCCTTATTTGTCCTCAGCGCTGAGGTGTTATCTCGAGCCTTGAATACGGTGGCCACTTAGCGATAGTTTGTTCCTTTTAAAGTTCCTTCTCTGTGCCCTATTGTAGCGCACTTGGTGTACGCCGATGATGTTATCATTTTCTCCAGTGGTGCGTGGTCCTCTTTAACTCTGATTAAGAGGGTCCTGAAGGGGTATAGTATGACATCGGGACAGCGGATCAATTCACATAAGAGCTGTTTCTTGACTCATCCAAGGTTTCCGGCTCCGAAGGCAATAGTGGTTGGCCAGGTGCTAGGGTTTCAGAGGCGGGCATTTCCGGTAAGGTACCTTGGATGTCCTTTGTATGTGGGACGGAGGAAGAAGATCTACTTTGCGGATGTTTACAATGCGGTGGTGGCTCAGATCTTATCATGGAAGCATAAGCTTTTATCTGTGGGAGGTCGGGTGGTGCTAATTAAGAGCGTGTTAGCCTCAATGCTTGTACACTTACTCACAGCCGCTTCTCCACCAAAGGGGGTCATTGTGGCATTAGAAAGGGTGTTCGTCGATTTCCTGTGGGGACGTCTGACTTTGGGACTAAGTTTCACTGGATTCAATGGGAGGCATTGTGTAGACCGCGAGATGAGGGAGGGATCGGTTTGCGTAGGCTGAAAGATGTGCACGACTCATTCTCTGTTAAGCTTTGGTGGAATTTCAGGCAACAAAAGTCACACTGGCAGAGTTCATGGCAGGTAAATATTGCGCGGGTTTACATCCTTGCCTAGCAGAGGCAAGCCAGCGGGGATCCCTCACGTGGAAAAGAATGAGTTCAATACAGCAGGTGGCGGAGGACAGCATCAGTTGGGTCGTTAGTGCGGCTTAATGAATTTTTGGCATGATAATTGGTTGGGGACTGGGGTGTTATGTTAAAAGGTGGAGATCTTCCATGATCACCTGGTTGCTAATTTTGTTGACCGTGTGGCCTGGAACATTGTCATGCTTAATCGGTATTTGGACGCAGGTTTGGTGGCGTGCGTCCTAGCTATGGACCCACCAACCTTTCAAGGTCCTGATAGAATGGTTTGGGCTTTGACACCATCTGGTAGTTTCTCTATGGCATCAGCTTATTCCCTAGTCTGGCAAGGTGGTCACAGATCGCGGAGTGCGGCAGCCATCTGGCACCAGTGTATTCCCCTTAAAATCTCTTTCTTCATGCTGCGGTTATTGCAGGACAGGCTTCCCACCATGGACAGACTGAGAGGTGCTGGGGTTTAGGGCCCTTCTCGCTGCTGGTGTTGCCGAGAACCTAGGGTGGAGGACTTGGATCACATCTTTTGTGCTGGAGAGGGGGCAAAACGAGTCTGGCGTCACTTTGAGATGTGTCCGGGGGAAATGGGAGCGGTACATACGGCGCGGCATATGATTTGGCTTTGGTGGATACGGAGCAATAACACGGAGGTCTTGAAATGTTTATATAGGATCCTCCTAGCGGTGGTCTGCCAGGAATTATGGAAAGCGCGGAATAGGGGTGTGTTTGAAGGACAACGGCTGAAGATTAGGGCAACTGTGAATCGGATCGTTCAGTCACTGGGCAAGCTCCTGTAGACCCGCTTCCCATGGATGAGGTCTATATCCTCGTGGGAAGAGTTACTTCGGGAGATAGCATTATGTTGAATGCGAGTGAGTATTCAGCCCGTCCGCTGGATTTCGCTGCAAGGGGGTGGAAGTTGAACTCCGATGGGTGTTCTCGAGGGAACCCAGGGAAGAGTGGAGGGGTGGGGTGGTGCGGGACTGTCATGGGAATTTTGTCTTTGGCTATTCAAAGTTTTTTGGTACGATGAGTAGCCTGCATGCAGAGGACTGCTTGTGGGAATAAAGCATTGTATGGTTCGAGGGTTCCAACAGTTACATGTTGAGGCGGACTCGTTGACTTTGATTCGGATCGTGCAGGGGATAGTGCATGCCCATGGCAGTTGCAGAGGGAGCTGGATGATCTCCTCCAATTCGTCACTATTTTCAATCCGTCACGCATTGTTATAGGGAAGTGAATTCTCCGGCTGATCGTCTAGAAAATTATGGAGTCGACTTTGAGGCAAGGCAGGTCTTTACTGCTTTTGCCAACCTACCCCGGTTAGTCAGGGGGGACCTTAGGATGGATAGGTTGGGTTTTCCAACGTTTCGTAGGCGGGTGGTGGGACACTCATAGCTATTGTCTCGTCTGCTTTTTCTTGTGTACGCATGGTTTCAAGCCCTTATAATAAGAAATTAAGTTGTTAAAAAAAATGTTGCAACAACTTGTAAAATGAACTAATAAACTTCTTCTCGTTAGGGTTTGAAGAGATGAAAAGAAAAATAAGAATAGTTTGATAACCTTAATACTATAATGTAATCCATTCATAAGAAAAGCTAAAGAAAAATAATCACACAAAATAAAATAATTTATTCATCATCCGAAAAAATTTGGCAAGGAAGTTGTCTACAAGTAAATTAAATATAAAAAACAAAATTTGTCTACAAGTGAATTAAATTTAAAAAACAAAAGATTCCAAAATTCAAAATGGTACTAACTTTCTTGCATTCATTGCAAGCCAATTCCATTTAAATTCTTCATGTTTTTCTGTTACTTGGAGCCCTTGATCTCTGCAAGCCTTACTTTCACAAAAAAAAAAAAAAAAAAAACTAGAAGTTGTAAGGTATATTGGGTCCATTTCAATTAAAGTTTGTATCTTATTCAAAATCTTGTTATAGTTTTTCAATACTCGGTCCATCTGAGTTTTTTCGAGATCTTAAGAACATTACGCAATTGACTATGGAGATCATCTAGTTTTTCACCACAATTTTTTGGGGACATTTGACTTCATGCATAATTTTTTGGTTTTGATTTCACGTCAACTTGTTCTGTTTCAAGATTGACATACGTCTCTGTGCAGGTTTCAAGACCATCCTATGGTAATTCTTCCTTAAATGGATCCCATATAATTTTCCCTATTGCTATAATATCTTCAAATGAGACCCTCATTTCTTTTGAATAGTTCATTGACTTACAATGAAATTGTCTTGCTTTAGGATATCTTGTAATTATATGTAAATAAATTAATTGTTTCCAAAAGTAAATTGATTATTTAATTAATAAAATGGACATTAAACTTACATACATATAAATATTCTTCCCATAGCATTGAATTACAATTGATGATATCGATAATAGGGTTATAGTGAGTATTCCTTGTATTACCAATGAGTTTTGCCCAAATTATGTATTTTTTATTTCAAAAATACCATTCATTCTTTAGTTATCTTTGCATAAAGTCAACTTTTCCCTATCTTTTAAAGTTGATATAATTTGCTCCTACTATTCATTTTTTTAACCTGCCTCTACTATGATTATTAGAATGTGCTCCAATCAAGCATAATTCTATGAAATGCTTGAACACTTATAGTGTGAGGACTCATGTTTTATTTCTTAATTTAGTCATTTTATAATTATTTGCCCTATTGTTATTTAATTATTCTATTATTACATGAATTTCCCTTAAATTTCATTTTTTTCGCGCGCACGCGTCGAAAGTTTTTTGGAAGTTGTGCTGGTCCGATTAATTGGAGAATTGAGCAATTAGTATTAGACTCGTAAGTGTGAGTAATTACAGTGTTAGAGGAATTATCTTGGAGGATTAGTGTATAAGTGTACCAAACAAGAGAAAAAAATGGTAGTGCAAAACCCTATTTCGTACTATTGAGGGTTGACTTTTGTGCACACTTTATGGCTATCTTTTTCATTCTTTCCCTCCAAGAAATCTAACCACAAAACCCTCACTCTCTCTCTCCTCATTCTCGGCTGACCCAAAGGAAAAGAAAAGAGAAGAGAAAGACTTCAACTTCTTGCTCCAAATTTGCTTGATTCACTCCATCCAACTCACAATTCCTTGGGTTTTTGCTCCAACTAGAAGAAAGGTGAAAGCTTGAGGTGTTCCTTGGTGATTTTGGTGAAAAAATCTAGTCTTCATCTAGGGTTTAAAGGGTAATCACTTCATCTCCTTAACCTTTCAAATTTTACAAAGATTGATGGTTAGTTTTCATGGGTTTGAAACCCTAATGAAGTTTATAGGCAAGTGGACTTCAGGAAACATTTATCTTGCTTTAAATCCTAAGCTAGATGTCTTGAGGAGGCCTTTAGGTAGCTGACTTGAGGCTATATTGCTCGATTATTGTTGTTTATGTGATGAATGAGATGATTATGGTTAGAAAGTGGAGAGAAAGTTGGAAAAATTGTTAAAGGAAAGCTGGCCGAAATTCTGTTCATGTTGTCCTGCTTTTAATTCAAAATTTTGTTGCTTAGTTGGCTGTTAAATTGATGGATATATGTTGTACTATGTGTTCAGAAAGTGTCTTTCAAAAATCATGTCGAATGGTTGCATAAAACTTGAGTTTTGGAAAAGCTGAAATCTGGAAATTCGCTAGTAGGGTAACCGGACAGTGGTTCTTTGTCTGAACATAACTCTTTGTGCAAAAATTGAAATTGAGTGCCATTTGCGGCATTCAAAATTAGACATTCAAAGCTTTCAAACAGTATAAGAATCCCCTACTAGTTCGTTTTGAGTAAACTGTGGTGAGTCGGCAAAATGGACTGTCCTGCTTTGCCTGTCTGTCCGAGAGCAATTGGGAAGCTGCATCTTGTGGCTCGATTTTGTCTTACTTGTGAAAAGATTTTGAAAATGATACCTTCTGATGAATTGTAGCATTTTAAACCTAGTTTCTAATGCCATAAACCATTCTCAATTTGGAGTTGTGTGGAATTAGAATGGTTTGATTTCAAAACTACAACAAAGCTGGAAACTGAAAATTTTTCCCTTCCTTGCTGACCGAATAGTCAATTCTGTTTTGGAGTGTTTTATTTCAAAAATTTAGTGTCAATTACCCATCAATTGCTCATTAAATGTTCTGGAACCTTGGTTTCAAAAATGGAGTGGATTGGGGCTGATTTCGTTGGACAAAACTTTCGAAAGAAAGAGAGATAGGGTTGGCAAATTAGCTTTGAGAAATTTCACAAACTTGTGTCATTTCATTAACTGCCTTCCCGTGTG